CTATTTTGACATCTAATCATTTTTAGTTTCAATTTCAATTTACAATCTCAATTCTAATCATTTTCGATGAAGAAATGACGGTTTCAAAGGTGCAAAGGTATAATTTACATTGAAATTACACATGTATTCCATTTAAGTATAGTTATACATAATATAAAAAGATACTTGAAAATCTCACTTTGGCCCTTCACTAAAAAAGTTTAATTAAAAAAGCTTTAATTAATACTGCCTTTAGTGTAAATATCGGAGAACAGTTAGAGTATAGAATGCTGACAGAAAATTTGTACAGGGAAATTGTACAGAAACATTGAACAAAAAGGTTAACATGTACATTTGAGGAAGCGGGGGATTATAGTAAAAGGCATTCTAATTATAAATCAACTTCAAATAACAATTAATGAAAATTTTTCAGATTAATATTCGTATATCAAAATAGTTCGGATTTTTTTTAAAAAATAGCTTTTTCATACTTATTCTAATATGAAAATTGAATAACAGAATGCAAAACATCCAAAATGGCTCGATCTTGATATAAAAAAAGGTTTGAGAATACTGCAGAGAATTATAGCATCGCAACCATGCAATTGCAGTTAAAAATAAAAAATGACATGAGTTTTCACAGCGCATTATACTTCATAAATAAATAAGTAACGGCCCTGAATTGCATGCCGAGAATTCAATAATAAAAAATAATTTGTAACAAATTTATTACGGTAAAAAACAAGATTTGCATTTTCATTTGTTATCCATAAAACTTTTGTAAATTTCTCCGCTGTTTTTCTTTTTCAGTAATTTCTTGATGTGGGAACTTCTGGGTAATTTAGTTTCCTGCAATTGTTTTGTTGTATCTTCCATCTTCTCCAATTTTCTAGGCATTATGAAACCTGAACGATAAACATGGTTAGAATTATTTTCGTTAAATATTTCTTATAAAAAGTTTTTTAGTTTAGAACCGTGGATATTCCACAGCACAAAATTTGCAATGGTTGATCTATTCCCCCATCCTCTCTTTTAATTAATATATATTTAACAATTTTCGGAACAAAAAAATTACTTGGAATAGGGTAGAGCCAGCCCTGATGTTGCAGAATACTTATTCAATTCGATATAAGCTTCAAAATTAATAATTAAAAGTGAGTTATAATTTATGGTCTTACCTTGATTTTAATCTCTTATGATTCAAAGAAGTTAAGCGTAGTTGGGCCCATTGTGAGATTCTTACAGCATTATTGAGACTTATTATCAATACTCAGAACTATAAAACCTCCTAATTTGCAGTATTTATTTGTTTTATGAAAATACAGATTATTTACCCCCAGATTTACAGACAGATGCCGCAATACATCCCAGGTAAGAAAGGTGAGGAATTTCCAGTTTTGGTGACTTGCTTTGAGCAATTTCTGGGGAAATTCTTGAGAACAAGTTCTTGTGACTGATTCCTCGGATTTCTTGAGAAATTCTCTGGAATTATTTTTTTTAGGGGATCATAGTTTTGAGAATTAGTTTCGAGAAACTCCTAAGATTTACTCATGTATTTTTTACCAAGTCAGAAATTCCTGAGAATATTACTACAATATTAGAAGGGAGTGTCTGATGAGTCCACTTGAGAAAATTACATAAATAATTTATTAACACTAGTAATACGGAAGTGTGTATATGATAGAATAGTTTACCTTAACATATAAAGGCTGTATCATGAAACATGACAGTCGGTAAATAGTTTAAAATGTCTTCTACCATAGTCCATAATATTTCAAGTTGTTTGTTGCATACGAGAATAATAATAAATATTTTATGGCATTTATATTATAATAAAATTGATTTCTAAGTAAAATATATTTGAGTTAAGTTTTTTTAAACCAAATAAACTGCAAAAAGTCTTTAATATCTGATGCAGATGCAGTGAAGAAAACATTAGTCCATTTGAACACATGTTTCTATGGGAAATGTTCATTTTCACTAACGTTTATTTGCATTACAATTTACAGAAGAAAAAATTAGTCCGTTTGAACAAATTTTTTGTTGGAAATGTTCATTAAAATTCAAAGAAAAATTAGTGCGTTTGTTTCTAGTATTATAGCTCAATTGTTTTCCAAAATTTTAAAACAATTCATAAAAAACTGAATAAGATAAAACAAAAAATAACAAAACAAAAAACAATTTTGCATTTTTCAAGTGAAAACAGTTTTAAAATCTAAGGTTATAGTTTGATAACATTTACTGCAGATTTCACTCCAATTTTTTTTGCGGAATTTTTTATATATCTCATTTAATTTATGCCCGAAATTCTAACAAAATAATAATTTTGAAAATTTTGACAAAAATATCGATAATCCCTGTTTTTTTAATTAACCCTGTATATATATAAACTTTGCTTGGGTGTCTTTTTGTTTGTTTGTCTGTCCGTTTGTATCCAAAAAACGTCAAAAGGGCTAAACCGATCGGGCCCAAATTTTTATGTGACATCGTGTGACCCCAGGGAAGGTTAATGGATGATTGAATTTCAAAAATTTGCCTCCATCATAATTTCATTTTTGAAAATCCACGAATTCTTTTATAAAATCTGTGATTTTTTTTTACAATGTACACAAAGAGAACATGTTCACAATGAAAATGGAAGATGGGCGCGAAACGTCCTATATAGCCTAGTATATATACATTTACATAGTTATAAATATAAAAAAATTGTATATCTTAGATATCTTAGATATGGTAATACCCCCTGTATTAATTAGATGAAATCATAGAATTTAAAACATTTCCATGGGAAACACCTACAAACTCTATACCATTAGTCCTTGTTTGAATCCAAGGGTAACGCCTCCCCCCCCCCCNCCCGTGCATCTTGAATAATACCTCAATGTTTCATTTTTACACCTTTTAAAGAAATAAACAAACATTTACTGATAAGAAAATTCTACAGTTTTACTGCTCATACACTCAGTCTAAACATGAATCCTAAGATAGCATAAAGCTATGAACAAACTTAAAAAGTCCTTTTCCTTCGGTGGAGGGGAAACCATGGAGTTGACCTGTTCAGAGGCTGCTGATTGGTTTGTGAAAAATGTTCTATCCAAGAACCTGGAATCAGATAATGTATGGTTCCCGGAGCATAGAATCCGGCTTGGGACTAAACCTGAGGGTCCTAAACTGTCTAAACAAAGACTGGAAGAAAGAGGAAACCAAATTCCAGAACCGGAAGATAAAATACTCTTCAATACTTATTTAACAGATATGAAGGGAAATGAGTGTGAAAAAGCAGTATGGGACTATATAATAAGGACCCCAAGTAATGTTAGATGTGCAACTTTTATGAGTTACGATAACAAAATGTTCCTGCAATTCACTGGAGCCTCTGATACAACAGAAACTGAAGCTCCTGATGTTCAGAATCCAGATGCTGAGAAAACTGAAGCTCATTATGCTGAGAAAGATGAAGCTCCAGATGCTGAGAAAGCTGAAGCTCCTGATGCTAAAAAAGCTGAAGCTGAGAAAGCTCAAGCTTCAGATACTGAGAAAGTTGAAGCTCCAGATCCTGAGAAAGTTGAAGCTCCATATACTGAGAAAGCTAAAGCTCCAGATGCTGAGAAAGCTAAAGCTTCAGATGCTGAGAAAACTCAAGCCTCAGAGCCTGAGAAAGCTGAAGCTTCTGATGCTGAGAAAGCTCCAGATACTGAGAAAGCTAAAGCTCCAGATGCTGAGAAAGCTAAAGCTCCTTATGCTGAGAAAGCTGAAGCTCCTTATGCTGAGAAAGCTAAAGCTCCAGATGATGAGAAATCTAAAGCTCCAAATGCTGAAAAAGCTGAAGATTCTGATGTCAGCACAACTTCCAACAAATCAACGCAAACACAAGATGAAGATTTAAAGAAAGTTCCCAAAATCAAAGCAAAAAAATCAGCAAACACACAAGCTCAAAGAGCCAACAAATCTTCCAAAGCTATGGCCAACAAATGTACAAAAGATGAAGATTATGGTGACAACAAGTGTCCTGATGGTAGATCACACAAAGCTACACAAACTAAATCTGCCCGAGGTAAAGCCAACAAAGGTCCTCCCACTGATAATCAGGAATTTGACTTTGTATTTCTCTTAGGGGAATACAAAACATTTGTCGTATTTGAAGTCAAGGCCAGCTTCAATCATGCCAAGGGAAAGTGGGAGGATCAGTTAAAACGAGCAGAACTATTTTACAAAACAATTATCAAGTACATCGGAGATGAGGATTACAAGGATTGGACATTTCTTCCAGTTGCAGCTTTTCCGAATGCTACAGATATCAAACAGGTTATTTTTCAATAATAATTAAAAAAGATAATTTACACTAGTTATTATTGTTCTTAATATTATTATTATTTTTATGATGATTATTATTATTATTATTTGTGGTATCTGGGAACCACAAATACGTGCATTGAACTGGTATCTAAAATCTACACTTGATAAGATTTATACAAGTACTTGAACCTGTTTATATCTATCATGTGTGTAACCTGTTGACGTTGCAGCTCGGGTTGGTCCTACTCCGCGGGCCCAACTCCTCATGCGCTGTCATATATAT